TATTATGTTTATTGAGCTAAACAAGATTGTATGGTTACCTTAATACACGAACTTGATATTTCATAGTGCAACAACTCACTATATTTTGATCAACACCAAAGTGCCTATCCAGTCACAAATTGTGCGTTCTTACTTACAATTTTGTTCATTCTTATTTACAACAATGAAAATTAATTAAGTGTCTGGAACAACCCTCACTACAAAGTAGTTGACAATTATTGGATGAAAAGGACGTTCCAAAGGACGGACAGAGCATTGAAAGGTTGGATCATAAACTGACCAAGGGCATAGAGTGTTACTTTGCAAAATGTTGATGTACAGGTCCTTTCAGGATAAAAGTTACAAAAAATTGTGCTAAAGCCTGTAACTGATTAGCAACAGCACGTAACATGTAGCAAGACTCTCGGTACTACAAATTTGACATTTTGTTCGTAAGGAATCTTATCTGACATGGTTCAGGCGCTGCATGTGAGTCTACAGTCTCTTCTCCCGTAATGTACTAGTTGGCATCATATGCGTTGGGGTCTGATATTTTACCATATTAGAGGGTATTGTGGACTATAAAAGGTCGAGGTTGCAGTTGTATATCCCTTACACAGACTCCAGTTTGTTCGTCCCCCTTTAATTTTCGCCTGCATTATTATTCAACTTCACACTTTCAATTTCTCTTCATATTAAAGTGGCAATGGACCCGTGTACTCCATTCATTTTTTGTTATCTTCAATCTCTTTACAACAGGGATTACAGTCTCATCAATACAGTGTTCAATTTTAAAAGAAGTTGGGGTAACAAACAATTTTCTCAGGTTTGCTTGATGTTCGAGAAGATCTCGCTAATTTAATGAGATGTTCGAGAAGGCCTCGCTACATCAATTGTTTTGGGCTTCGGAACGATCATCTCTGTATTCTTAATAGACACTTAATAAAGTGTCTAAGAAATTTAATGTGTGTGGGGGGGAGGATTTATTGTTTGTGCCGAGGGCAATGGCACAGACAAGAGAAGAGGAAAGGTTCATCGGATATTAACTAGTTGCAGTATCACTAGTTGTAATATCGGGGAATTTGTAGTTGTAATATCACTAGTTTTAACTAGAGAAGACGAAAAGCTGCCGATTACAAATTCAGTAGTTGTAATGAATTGTAACATACACATAACTGGTTGTAACGGAATATGTACATGTCGTAATGACAATTTGCTGCATTTTAAATATTAGTTACCCCACTTTCAAATTAGTTGACCCAATGAAGTATCATGTTCATCTGCCAAACAGTGTATTTAGAGCGTTACTGTGTAAGGTATTAGTGAAACTTATCGTCAATAATGTGTAACTCTGTATAGACGTGACCCCCAACATTGGAGTACAGGTCCTTAGATGATAAAAGCTGCGAAAACATGTGTTGAAGTCTGTAAACGATTAGCAACAGTACGTAACACGTGTATTCACTTTCGATACTACAAATCTGACGCTTTGTACGTAACGAAACTTATCTGACATGGTTCAGGCACTACATGTGAGTCTACAGTCTCTTCTCCCGTGATGTACTAGTTGGCCTCATATGCGTTCGGGAAGATCTCATTATTTTAATGAGATGTTCGAGAAGGCCTCGCTACGCAATGAACCCGTGTTCGAAACGATCATCGTAACTATTCTCAAAAGACACTTAATAAAGTGTCTAAGAAATTTAATGTGTCAGTGGGAGGAATTATCATTTCTGCCAAGGGCAATAGCACAAACAAGAGGAGAGAAAAGGTTCATCGAATATTAACTAGTTGTATTATCACTAGTTGTAACATTGAGGAATATGTAGTTGGAATATTATACAGTTTTAAATAGAGCAGACGAAAAGCTGCTGACTGCAAATTCATTAGTTATAATGAATTGTAACATACACCTAATTGGTTATAACGCAATCCGTACATAGTGAAATGTACAGGTCACTGATGTGTAATTCTTTATCCACGTGACCCTTAATATTGGTGTACAGGTCATTTCATGACAAAAGCTGCATAATTTGTTTTATTGTCTGAACAGATTTGACACAGTTCAATGGTATGCATCGAACTCTACAACCTCCACTGCCATGACAAAATTGTTTGGCCTGGAATGCGTTGTCCAGTGATATTTTAGCACATTGTGAGGGTCCTGCGGACTATAAAAGGGCGCGGTTGCAGTAGTATATCCCTCAACAACAAAAATTTTTCTGTCCACCTTCCATTACTGCACAAACATTTTTCATTTTAAATAACTTCACACTTCCCATTTCATTCTACTGAAGGGTGGCAATGAACCCGTGCCTGAAATTTATTATTAGTATTCTTCAACCCTCCTCTAACTTCAATTGCAGTGTCATCAATAGAGGAGGGTTCACACAGAAATCAAGTTCTTAGGTGCCATATAGCAGCCAGTAGGTTGCATGATGTTCGAGAAGGTCTCGCTAATTTAATGAGATGTTCGAGAAGGCCTCGCTACATCAATTGTTTTGGGGTTCGAATCGACCATCTCTATGTTCTCATTAGACACTTACTAAAGTGTCTAAGAAATTTTATGTGTTGGGGGAGGACTTATTGTTTGTGCCAAGCGCAATTGTACAAACAAGAGAAGAGGAAAGGTTCATCAGATATTAACTAGTTGTAGTACCACTAGTTGTAATATCACTAGTTTTAACTAGATAAGACAAAAAACTGCCAATGGCAAATTCATTAGTTGTAATGAATTGTAACATATACATAACTAGTTGTAACTCAACATGTACATGGCGTAATCAAAATTTGTTGTATTTTAAATATTAGTTACCCTACTCTCAAATTACTTATCCCAACGAAGTATCATGTTCTTCTGCGAAACTGTTACTTATTATGTGGTCATGTGGAACCAAGTCGAGCCGCCAATTGTAACTTCATTTCTGTACTGAAGGAGTAATACCTATTTGAAGTGCCTGTAATACTATCTGTAATACTCATCGTTAATACAATTGTAAACAAATTATCTAAGTTTTAACATACAGGCAAATGACAAGGTACCTGTACAAGTACATCAATAAGCGGTAACAGCTTATTAACTTCTTATAACGTACATATGCTGGTTGTAACTTCTTGTTACACTTGAAAAGTAAGGTGACTGACGTATAACTGGGTATTCACCTGACCCAATTGTTGTTGGAGTACAGGTCATGACCCAATCGAATTGAACCATTATTTCATCCACACACTATACATTTGACCAAACGTTGAGTCTATTCTCTCGTTAATAGGTGGTTGCCATGCTTTCATCTACTCACCCAGGAGTACTATCCCGTGGAGAACAGCATGAAATGACACAGCAAGCAGTTGGTCAAGTTGCCAGAAGAAACCATTTACAATGCATGGTCTGAAACAGGTGCTCCGTTAAAAATTTCTACCTCTTTTTTTCTCCCACCTAATTCTTTATCAGTAGATCCTTCCTTTCATCCAACCAAAAAGCAGTAGGTATTTGCATAGTCATGCAATCCACAAACGAAGGATCTCATACAAACTCACCATCAAATATTCGGCAAAAAAGACAGAAAGTAGCGTTGGGTCCAACAAATGCCATAAGCAAGTACGAAACACTAGACGGGAGGTTTTATATGGTATCAAACGCGAGTTCAGGAACGCTCCACTTAATACTAACAACTCTCTGGGACTAGCTGGCCACATTTTTAAAAATACCGTCAATGATCATCTACCGTCTGGCTATTTCGTTATGGACCATGAACCCATATGGGAGCCTGTTCGTGAGCGAAGAATGGAATTTGAGGTATTTTGTCGCTGGCATGGCCTCCGCGTCCCGAGAACAAGGTCAGTGGATCTTTTTATAGGACCACAAGCCAATGATGCAAGCGTATTACATAGACTATAGCAAGAAGTTATGCAGATGGAGCGTAGGCTTCACAAGTTGCACGAGATCCAGGCCTCAAAAAGACATGATATTGGAAAACAATTTGATGTTCAGCACATTTTAGCAGATCACATTTTAGCAGATCTCATTTCTTTTTACTTTTAGTGGTTGTCACACCACTCCACCCGTTAGGATTAGGATCGATCCACTTGGACATGTGGCCGTGACACGATGGGCACGTAGCAATGTCTGAGGGATCACTCGAACCACCGACACTTAGGCCTTGGGATTGATGACCCTTCGCCTTCGATCTGAAGGTTTGAGAGCTTGAAAACCTTATCGAATCTAGATGCATTAGTGAGCCCAACCTCATGCATTCATATTAGAAATCGCCTAGGGTAGAGTCGACCATACCCAACTAGGAACACAAGGCATGAAGGGAGGGATTCCACCCCTCTTTCCTTATTTTTCTTTATTTATCATCTAATTGCCCAACGTGTTATGTGTTATGTGTGGAACTAACATTTCCTTATTTTCTCATATTTTACATTCACAAACGTTAGGAAATAAGAAATCAGGTATGATACTCTTTTAGAACCTGCCCTCTTAGATAAGTTATTACACGTTTAAAATTTCTATGTATTGCATTCAAAGGTTAATAATTGCACATCATTTTAGGCCCACCCTGGCATACGAGGGTCCCTTTAGGTCATGTTTTCATATTTAATTGCTTTGATAAATTGACATCATGCATACTGTGACAGCACCACCTCCCCCTAAGGCGAACCAAAGGGCTCGGCGGACCGCCTGCCCAGCTCTCGCCGGGACTCACTACAGTCCGCAATTAAAATACATCACTCACATCCAATAACATAGGGTACAACCTCAAGAATAAATGAAATAACATTTTTCAAACTTAGAACGAGATAAGATACATTACAAATCTCAAGTAAGGGAATCATTCCCCGAATAAGACAAAAGTCCTCAGTTCTCAAATAATTACATCAAATACTTATCAAGTGAATCGAATTCAAATTATATATGAGATATCCCTTCAGGCACTAATAACTCAATACAAGCACTTTCTTTGGCCTCGAGCCCTGTGGGGAAAAATTATTTTTGGGGGTCACTAATTAAGCCTCAAAACTTCCACTTCCAAACCTGTTAAGGAAAAAAAATTGGGGTGAGCTAACGCTCAGTGAGACCAAGGGAAAAACATGCAAGTATGCTAGCAAAGACACAATATAAAGCAATAACTCGAGTAACAAGTAACTGCGAAACGTTAAGCAACTAGGGAATTTAATCACAATAAAAGGATACGGGAGCTCTCAGGAGCTAATCCACGTGCGATCCAAGCTCAGGTAGTTGACCCTCCGTCAACTTTCACAGTTATCCATGTAGAACTCCACTTACTACCTCCAGCCACCAAGACACCCTCTTGGATCCGTAACCAAACAAGCATGTAGGTGGTATCACTTAACAAGTATACCTAGCAAGACCCCTTATTTGGATCAAGCTATAACACTTCCCAAGGTTCACCAAGTTTCTCGACCAAGCCCTTGCCGGCTCGAGTTACAAGGCTAGCCAATGGGTTGGGGCGTCCCCCCCATTCACTTTTAGGTCGATGAGACGAAGCTCCAATCGACAAGATTTGGTCATAGCATTGAGACGGGATGAGCGGTACCTCCTACCCTAAAAGGGCATGATACATTCTGCCGCTCAATGCTCACGAAAAACACTTTCATTTGCATTCACATGTAACATGCATCACTTATCAAGCAAGCAATTTCATGAAAGAGAGGACAAGGGCGATAAAGTACGCCCTAGCCTCATTAACTAGCAAGTACAAGAATCATTTCATTTAAACACTTCACATGCACTTGATACTCACCAAGTATCAAAAGTCAAAGTTTGAGAAATTAGCTCTAAGACGCTTCGCCGGGAGTTCCCTCGAAGTCCTCTTGAGATCCTGAAAGTATGCAATAATGCATTGTATCTCAAATTCCAGGCCATACAGTATTCGTGTAAAGAAAAGAAATAGTCAATTTTGACTCCACAATTCAAGTTTCCAAAGTATTTCAGTTCATAAGGAACCGACTTTCAAATGAAGTCTCAAGTGATAGGTGAACTCATGAAAATAGGTTTGAAATGCTCTAAGAGTTGTAAAAATGTAACCTAGGCCCTTAAAAGCATAGTTCTTAAACCCGGCCCGGCCCGGCGGTCGAACCGGTCAAACCGGTGGACCGGTCATTGGACCGGGCCGGGTTTGGAATCACATCGTTTGTGCAAAGAGACCGTTGACTTAGTCAACGACCCGGCGGTCGAACCAGGTTAAACCGGAAACCCGGCCGGTTTTGTCACTAACCGAATTTTGTGGAAAAATTATATTGCTATTGTTGGAACTCGAACTTCGGACCTCTGCCCCAACACTACCGCCTGCTTACCACCAAACTACTTCCATATATGTTGATATAGTAGCTTTATTATGATATATAAATGTTTTTTCAATTCTATCTTTTTTTCTCTAAAACAAATTTATTTGGAATCTTTTAATAAAAATTTATTACCCTCCAAACTCTATAAGTTATAAAATGGATTCCAAAAATAACATATTACATAATTCATTTAAAGACAAATATTATTTTTAATAATTTTTTACACTTAAAATTCATAAATAAGCTAGATAATTACACTAAATATAGATAAAATTTTACACTTGAAGTTTGGTATATTAATAAATAACTTTATATTTGATTGATTCTTATATGAATTAATTATTTTATAACAAATTAAATTAAATGAGCTTTTGTTATGGCATTATTTATTACAATTTATATCATATATCTTATATAAATAATTATGAAATATAATATTTAAATATATGTAGTGACCCACCGGTTCAACCACTCACCCACCGGTTAAACCAGTAACCCGTTGACCCACCTCTTTCGCCGGGTTCCTTTCCGGGTTGGGTTTAATAACTATGCTTAAAAGAACATTTAGGTCCAAATTGGAAATTTTCACTTTTCGAGTCATTCGTGGAAAAAATCAGTCCGGAAGTTCGGAAAGTCTAAAATAGAAAATTTTACACCGTCAAAAACTTCATTCGAAGCATAACAACTTTGTAGAAGGTCACTTTCCAAGAATCAAATCAGAAACAAGTCAATTTCTCCAAGAAAGTTTACTATTCATTGAAGATAGGTCAAAACAGTCCAAGTTTTTCCAATAATTTTGGAATTTCACTAAAAATCATAGAATCAAAACCAGCCTTTGAAATTTGATATGCATGTAAAGTTCCAATCCAGGTTTCAAATGAAAAAAATGGAACTCGATTCCGATGTTCCTAGCTCAAGAAATAAAAAGTTGAAGTTCGCTAAAATTCTTGGACTGTTGGCCTATTTTCCAGATTTAATGCACTTCGCTAATAAGGCCGTATCTCACTCGATTCTCAGTGAAATTGAAAACGGTTGGTGGTGTTAGAAACTAGGTTCACAAGGATATATTTATGCAGAAGAAATCATTTCCAAAATCCAGACATAAGCGGTTCAAAATCAAGCAACAAAATGGATTTTCTGGACAGTCTCGGATGAACAGTAATAAACAGGCAGCCAACTTTCAAAACTCGCCACGAATCGTTCGGGACGAACTAGAAAATGAGCTTGGTACCATTTTAAAGCTCTAAGAGTCTACTTTCAAATGCCATAAACGGCACTCAATTTCGATCAACGAGTAAAATGTTATAGCTACACAAATGTTGCTGGTCAGAAAATTCTGGAGCTTGTTCCAGTTTTGCTTCTTTACTTGTAACTCAAAATTTAACCAACCATTTGGGTTGATTTTTGGTAGACAACCACAATACACATAGCACAACGTATCTACACCAATTTGGAAGCTCAATTAGCACTAGAAAATTTTTGAAATTACAGGGCAGCAGCAAACAAGTCGGCAGCAAGTCAGAAATTTCAGACAGTACCTTCTCCAAATTTCTAACTTTCTTCCAACTTCATTCCATCAATCATTCTATATACATGTAACATAGCACAATATCAGCAACCACAACATGCTAATTCATCACATCAGTCACCAATAAACATCCTCAAACCCTCGAGCATGTCATGGAATTGCAAGAACATAATTACTCAACCAATCAACCCAAATTCTACCATAGGTTGCAAACCCATGCTACCTTTGCTCCATTTGAGCTATAATTTTGCAAGATTGAAGTGTGGGTGAGTGAGTTACCTCAAGAACTTAGTTGGACAGCTTTAGGGCAGAAATCTTGACCGAAATTCCTCCAAGAAAACCGATGAACAGCCCCCTCTTCCAAGCTAGGATCAAAGCCCTCTAATGGATGATGAAATTTGGAAGTGGATTGAAGCAAGTTTGTGAGGATTTTGGCTAGATTTTTTTCTTCCCATCTTCGGCCAACTAGAGAGTGATGAGAGGAGAGAGAGTGAAATCAGGTATTGTAATGAAAGTGGAGAGAATTGGTGACTTAATGGTTAAGTCTAAGTGTCAACTCATGCTAGGTCCGTTTAGGGTCTTTGCGTGTCCAATTTTCGCGCTCGTTTGCAACTTTTGTGCACTAAACCTCTGAGGTAATTTCCCTAGTACATTAATAGTACATTACTCGTAGTCTAATATCATGTTCTTAAAATCTCCAATTAATCAAATTAATGTGCCTATCGGGGCCTTTACGGCACGCGCGCGTATAAAGGTCAAACTTAAGGGTTTTCTCGTTTGAACTTGGAAATTCAACTTATTCGATTCTAAAACTCTAAAATATGATAATCCAAGTATATATATATAACAATAAAATTCACGATAAGCAATTCATCTTGAATAAATTTGGGCATTAAAATAATATGCGTGTAAATAACCAATCGGAAAAATTTATTTTCGAGAAATTCATGTACTTTAGTATATTTTATTTTATTTTTATTTTATTAATTTTTTTTTTGGGTAACTCGAGTACGAAATATTTTTAAAATGACCAATTTAACAATATTTTGAAATAATAAAATTATGGGTCCTCACACATACACCTTAGAGGGAATGCCACGTTAGAAATAAGCCACCTTGTGTCTCGGATATGTAATCCAGTGAGACTTGCACGTCTATATTTCTTATACCATCCAAAGGGGCAGTGCACAAGGTAAGGTAGGATCCGATTCGTTCCGCGATGATGACCTTGGGATAATGGAACAGTTTTGCACATTAGAATATGAGCATCTAACAATCATCTTTTGGCCATTTTATCAGAATTGGTAAAAATCCCTTGCATAAAGGACATTAAATTGAAGAAATTCACAAATAATTTCTCATTGTTGAGACGATAAATATATTGAGGCCAAATCTTGATTTTAGAAGGCTCATAAACTAAATGCTTTGCAACAAAATTTGCAAGTTTTGAAACTACCAATGGGCAGACAATTCAATCGATTTTTGAATAAACCATCAATTTCATTCAATCCATTTGAGCTGATTACTCATCAATTTCATCCAATCCATTTTATCAATTCATTCATTTTTTAAAATCATCTAGTCAATTTTTGAATAAATCATCACTCTATCTGATTCATTTGATCGATTTATTTCATTCAATTCATTTGACCAATTTATTCATTTTTAGGGCAATCCATTCAATTTTGAATAAATCATCAATTTGACCAATTTACCCATTTTTCAGGCGATCCAATCAATTTTTGAATAAACCATCAATTTCATCCGATCCATTTGACAACTTAAGGTTTTGATGTCAAATTTGGAGCTGGGAAGACTTGTTGTTTTTGAGAAAATCACCCATTGCGTTTATTCCATTTGATAGATTAGGGTTTTCGATCCATGTTGAGAAATTGCAATCTCTCCAATAGCAAGTTCGTCAAAGTTAAATCAATTTGTACGAATTCCTGTACCAAAACCATTCATTCATTCAGATTTGTCCACATTCTGTTAGAGGTCTCCCGCTGTTCAATTGGCCCAAAATTTTGATATTGCCTTCCAATCAAATGTCAATAAGTTGATCGGGTCCATCAGGTATTGTATGGTGCCTACTCTAGAGGATTACATTTTCATTCTAGGCCTATCCTTGGTATAAAAAGGGCTCCCCCCAATAGGACATGCATCCGAATTACTTTAATTTTTACTAACTCCCCTCTTTTTCTTTTTCTTTCTTTTTTGACAGCAGTTAATTGAGAGGGGAATCTAAATAGGGTTTTTCTTCAATTTTCAGGTAATTGTAAGCATAACTATACAAAGAAACCCCATCATTACACGATCACGTAGCTGAGTTTTGAAAAATACTGTAAACATGAGTACACATCCTAAATCATCCGATAAATCTACAACGGCACCTCCAGCAGACACTGCAAATTTGGGAGTTCAATTGAGCTCAGGTTGGCTGATAGGCATGGGATCATGTTGAACACTACTACTGCTAGCAAGTGAAGAAATAGAACACCAACCACCTCCTCTGTCCCATACCCAAGTTACCTTTGCACCATCCTTTGCAAACATACTCGAAGAGACTTTCACCTACCCCACTTCCAGTTTTCCATACACTTACCCCCATAACATCCAAGTCAACCCGGCCAACATCCGAGCACCTCAGAATTACCCAAACTCTCAAGTACCTCATCACACCACCATTGAGCCATTCATGTTGGATGCTGCTATGCAAGGGAAGGTGGAAACGGGTGAATCTTCCGCTCCAATAGACAAAAATCTATTGAAAAGATTGGATAAATTTGAGGAATTCATGAGAAAAAGCCAAAGATTGAGCAAGTCTGGAGGCTTGGATTATGATGAGTTGTGTTTTTTCCCAGACATGCAATGGCCTTTGGATTTTAAAACACCCAAATTTAGTAAGTATGATGGAACTGGTAACCCCAAGATGCATTTAAGACTATTTGCAAATAAGTTGGAAAAGCCAGTAGATGATGAAAATTTGCCAATACGTTTATTTCCCGAGAGCTTGGAAGGTGATGCCCTGGATTGGTACTCCAATTTAAAGCCTGAAGAAATGAGGACATGGGTGGATTTGTCAACCGCTTTTGTAAGACAATATGAGTACAATTGCGAGTTTGCTCCAACGAGGACCACACATGAGAGGACCAAGAGGAAACCATTGGAGGATCATAAGATGTATGCCAAATGTTGGAGGAAACTAGCCGCTAAAGTGGAACCCAGATGTCTGAAGACAAAATTGTTCAAACATTTATCAAGGCTCATGACCCGCCTTATTTTGAGGAAATTTTTCGAATGACTAGATGCTCAATTGCAGCTATTGTAAACAAGTTAGAAGAATTTGACGAATTCGTCAAAGCAGGAAAGATAGTCAATTTGTCAACCCTGAAAATGCAACTGGAAGCTTTGCAAGGTCAAAGTGGTAATGGCAAGAAACCTCAGTTCAAGAAGAAGGTAGGAAAGAATGCTTTCATTTGGGATCAGGTGTGACAGCCCCACCTCCCCCTAAGACGAACCAAAGGGTTCAGCGGACCGCCTGCCTAGCTCTCGCCGGGACTCAGTCGTTCATTATAGTCCTCAAATAAATTACAATATAAGTCTCAAATATACATCAAATGTTCCAACATTTATATATCAAAAGCGAAGCGGAAACTAATCACTTGCACTATCAACTAAAACCTCAAGAAATCAAAGCAATACAATTTTCCCGAATAAGACAAAGGTCCCTAGTTCTCACATAATTACAAGTACAAGTAATAGATTCCAGTTTGTTCAGTACAGGCAAGAGAACGAGTGTGATAAAGTACACCCTCGTCTCATACAAGATAAACAGTCAGGAAAGACATTCAACTAGCAATTTGCAAGTACAGGAAACCAGTTTAGCAATACTTCAGGGGAGTGGTACACTCACCTGATCAAACAAGGATAATTTCAAAAGTTTTCTTCCCAAGTGTGGCTTTACTAGCCGGCACCTCCTAGAACAATCAAGGCAAACACTTAAGACTGGACTCCAAAACCTAATAAGTGGAATTCGCAAGTAAAACTCGATTACAAGTCAGGTGCCTATCCAAATGAACCATTAATGTAAAGCGAAGAGGTGACTTTGGAGTGAAAAGATAACGATTAGTCCTAAAGGCATGAACAACCTCAAAACCCTACCTACAATGACTGACCAGCTTCAAATTTGAAGTAGAAAATGAAAGTAAGATCGATACTAGGAAAACAGGATTTTCCAGTTTCGCGCAACCCTATATGAAAAATCATATCTCAAGTTTTGTAAGTCCAAAATTAATAAAAGTTATACCGTTGGAAAATACATTCAAAGGGCTATAACTTTCCAGAAATCACCCTCATAAGATTTCTCCTTAGGGGGAGGTGGGGCTGTCACATCAGGGCCCCCTGACTAAACCCAGATTTCAGAACCGATCCACCTACTCATTCCCCCACCCCTATTACCCAAACTCCCGTTCTGTCTAACACACTACTGTCAACCATCCTCGTCCCCAACCTAACTACAAGAACATCCTTGCACCACCTTTCCAAATTTCTCAACCAAGTTTGCAAACTTGATATCGACCCTCATTTAATCCAAGACCTGTTCTGCCGAACAACCAAACCTATAATCATTTTCAAACCAATAAAACTTAAAATCAAATCCAATACCATACCTTTACCAACTTGGGCCGACCCATTGACCAATTATACGAGCAACTTAAGGCTGCTGGTAAAATTGGCATGGTGCATCCTCAAACCTACCCTAAGGGCCTTCCTACTGGTTATGATCCTCAAACCATTTGTGCATATCACTCTGGAAATCCTGGCCACTCTACCGGCCATTATCGGGCACTAAAGCGTAAGATCCAAGACATGATTGACGCTGGGGACATAATTTTAAGGAAAAAAGGTGAATCATGGCCGAATGTCAGCAAGAACCCTTTTCCTGAGCATAAAGATACTGAAGGGGCCATTACCACTGATGAGGAGTGTGACAGCCCCACCTCACCCTAAGGCGAACCAAAGGGTTCGGCGGACCGCCTGCCCAACTCTCGCTAGGACTACGGAGTCGATTCACACAAACCCAACATAGCACGCGCGATAGGACCCAAAGAAAATGAACAATCAAAAACTACTAAGGTGAGAACATGCCTACCAAACCATAACATCATAGTCTCAACGGAATACATTTAATAGACAAGGTTAAACACTTATACATATATTTACATTGAAGTCTTGAACAAATTAACATACAGTGCGTTCCGAGGTACTCATACTACACAAAATACAATTAGGGCTTCGTTTTCAAAAGAGTTTAACAACATGACATATATACTAGTTTGACCCTTTTCTTTCAAAACCGTGATTTTCAAGTTTGTCCTCTGTAAGGAAAACAAAGGCAACAGAAAGGGGTAAGCTTACG